TTGAACAACTAAGGGTTAATTTGCAGGATTGATTGCTTACTTAGCCCTATATCAGTATATAGCATGAATAATAATCACACATCACTCATATTTGTTATGAATAATCATTTATCATTTATTAAATAGTAAGTCGCTTTGGATAAAAGCGTCAGCTAAATGCAATTTATGAAAGCCTCACTCAGGATTTTTTTACCAAGTGTTTTTATTGCTCTTGGGGCATTAAAAACAAGATTTTAACTTTAGTTTTTGATATAATATCTGCATTTTCTCTTGTGAAAAACTAAGTCTTAGTTTGGCCATAGTTATTTAATATATAAAGACTATATATTATTGAATTACAAGATTAGATATACTTTATTTGATCTAAAATATTGATGTGTTCAAATGCTCTTCTAAACAAAACTGAAAGTCCATGAAAAGCTGTCTTCCTGTTTCTGTGAAGGAAGCGCCATCTCCTGGTTAAATCCTGAAATTGAAAATCTGGCAACGCCCTCTTGGAAAATAGTGGGAGGGCTTAACATTCCCAGATACTGGTCTTTGGCAGGTCTTAGGCAGGTAACTGGCAGGTAGTAGGCAGGAAGCAGTAAGCTGGAGTCTGAAAAAAGATGCTCCATCTGTACATTTATTTAAAGGAAGACCTTAACCTACAGTATTATTTAATGTTTAAATAAAGCCTTATTAGTTTGTCTGTTTTGCACATCCTATGCACATACTATCAGGCACTAAACTGTTTTATTGTAGAGATCACTTACAGTATCTTCTTGATCTTTTCTATTCTATATTATTTATATCATTGACCTTCCACTTTCCCACTATTTTAAGAGTATATACTCTTAATATTTAAATGTTTTCATCAAATATAACACATTCAAAAGTGCTTTACAAAAATGAAAGACATTAAGAAAAAGGCATTTTAAAACAGTCATTAAAAAGCAACACAATCTACCTGCATTGCAATTACTCTAAACGTGTAATAACATGCTTTAACCAGTAGGAGGTGCGGGTTAAAAAGCTGTCAAGTTTACAGTGTTAACAAAATAAAATATACTGCTGTTTCTGGTTTAGTTTACGACGGATATATTCTGTTATTGTTTTGATATTTGTAACACAAAAGCGATGTAAATAACCCACAGCAACACAGAAAAGATGGTCTTAACATGACCCAGCGGTCTAGTAGTTAATAAAAAACAATAATATCAAAACAAATTATTACTACTAACTTTATTGTGAAATTAAAACAGAACGGTAAAAGAATAGTTTCCGGTCTATTCTGAGGCCCGATCTCTGTAGATAAATAAAGAACTACGACAGATGTGTAATGTTTAATGCAGCCAAACCATTCATTACAATGCATTCATGTGATGACTTTCAAAGAGTAAAGCAAGCACTGCTGAATAAAGTATGATTTTATCTTTTACGAAACGTTTTTTTTTCATATGGAATGCAGTTCACAATCACCAATCACAGAGCTTGAGGCAAAGCGGAACAATAGCTGAGGATTCTGAGTAGTGTAGTGTCTTCGGCCATCCTAAACTCAAATATTTGTTTCTCCAAATCGAAGGGGAAAATTACAAAAGCATTGGACACAATTTAAACCAATCAATGTTGTGTAATTAACAAGGATAATCTGGTGTTTTTGAGTTGATGAGTAGTGCAGATATCACTGTAAAATCAATCGACAGTAAGGAGAATACTTACTTCCGGGTGTAAAATCCTCCCTTATCCAATGGGAATGGAAGCTCACATTGCTCTATGCGTCCGTAATACAATAAAGGGGACATGATCAAATAGGAATATAATTATCTTTTAAATAACGTTAACTAAAGGGAACAATCTATTTGACACAGCTGAAGCTCTGGCCTTCCTTAAAAACTAACTAATTTAATAAAAATCACAGTTGTATTACACACAATGCACTGTTTTTTGAGAACAAAAATTCGTAACTAATGCACCATAATACATTCTGACGAAAAATAAAAATTATTATGAATACAAATAAAATAAAAGAAGCCTCCCGTGAGTTACGACAAGCTATAAAGTAGATTTTAAAAACGTTTTATAGAATAAAAGCTCACTGCGGGACGTTGTAGAAATGCGTGTGTGCACCACAACAAAGGAGCCTCATTGCTTTTCTCACGTTTTCCCCTTCAATTCTGAGAAACAAGTCGTTTTCTATGAGTTTTGGATGGCCGAAGACATTACATTACCCACAATCCTCTGTAGCAACCATATACTGTATATTGCAACAGGCAACAGCTTCGGTTCATGTTAATTTACAAACTCTTCAACTACAACCATAGTTATATTTAAAAACTTGTCAGAAGGCCTCACGAAATACTTTAATGTAAATTAAAATGTAAATGTGAAGGAATGTGTGTATATTAACTGTGGGTTTTTCTCTGGAAGTTTTTCCTTGTACGATGTGAGGGTCAAAGGATGCCGTTTTTCTAATACTGATATTCCCGCAATGCACGCTGGGATTTGGTGTTTATGCGATGTGAAATCCGAAAAATTAAATAATACATTATTCCGAGTGTGCTTGCTTTTCTCTTTGAAAGTCATCACATAACGGCATTGTAATACACGTTTCGGCTGCATTAAATATTACATATCTGCCGTAGTTGTCTATTTATAGAGCCCTGATGAGAACACTTCTAGACAAACAGGAACAACTGCCGCCAAAACTGAAAACTTGACGTGGATCTTAAATATATAAGCAATTAAACAACATCTTACATTTATTTTCACACAATACGTCTCCTTGCAGTATCAACACTAATTCGGCTGACTTTTATATTTGATCCAATTGGTAGATAGGCTGTATTTACACCATAACGGTGCACAGCTGATAGAAAGGGACACCTACTGGTTAAAGCACGTTATTGCATTTTATAATTTTATTATTAGATATTAATAGGATCCCTATAAAGTATATTCTTTACTCATCGTTATTCTCTACTAATAGTTAATTAAAGGTGGGGTAGGTAAGTTTGAGAAACCGGCTCGAGATACACTTTTTGTTATATTCCATGGAATGCTCTTAACATCCCGATAGCAATGAATATCTTAAGTGCTTTGACAAAAAATCCATAAAAAAATGTCATCTGTGGAAGCCGTAGTACTGTAAAAAGCACGACCAATCATTTTAGCTGGCCCGGCTAAAATAACTGGATGGACTGCCTGCCTGTCAGCCTTCCATCTGTGCACAAACTTATCTCTTGCCCTCATTGGTCATATGCGCGCTCGCGTGTGTTGGAGGAGGGGCTCTGTAAGGAAGTGGCAGATTTTCTCCGGTTGTGTATTTTCAAATTCCAGCGCACTCGAGCTGGTTTCTCCGAAATTACCTACCCCACCTTTAAAGAATGTATATAATGACTATTTTGCACATCCCTTTCAAGATTTCAAGATTTTCTAAGGTTTATTGACATATCATATTATACACAACTACGGTGTAGTTATGCAATGAATGAAAAACTTGGGTCGCAGGTTCCTCAACAGTGCATTAATTAAAATAAGTGCTTAAACATAGTTAACATTGCAGGAAAGCAATATATTAGACGTTAAGTACTTTGTCAGGCTTAATATTTATCTGTAGATACAAATGTCACTGTGTGTGCTGTGTGCTCGGCATGTGTGACCATCAAAGAGGATTTCATCCCTCCATATTCATCTTCTATACCCCCAAAGCTTTTTTCTTATTCAAAAGAAGACCTTAACCTAAAGTATTCTTTAATGTTTAAATAAAGCCTTATTAGTTTGTCTGTTTTGCACATCCTCCTATTAATATCTAATAATAAAATTCTAAAATGCAATAACGTGCTTTAACCAGTAGGTGTCCCTTTCTATCAGCCGTGCACCGTTATGGTGTAAATACAGCCTATCTACCAATTGGATCAAATATAAAAGTCAGCCGAATTAGTGTTGATACTGCAAGGAGACGTATTGTGTGAAAAGAAATGTAAGATGTTGTTTAATTGCTTATATATTTAAGATCCACGTCAAGTTTTCAGTTTTGGCGGCAGTTGTTCCTGTTTGTCTAGAAGTCTTCTCATCAGGGCTCTATAAATAGAGAACTACGGCAGATATGTAATATTTAATGCAGCCGAAACGTGTATTACAATGCCGTTATGTGATGACTTTCAAAGAGAAAAGCAAGCACACTCGGAATAATGTATTAGTTAATTGTTTTTAAATGTTTTCGGATTTCACATCGCATAAACACCAAATCCCAGCGTGCATAGCGGAATATCAGTATGAGAAAAACGGCATCCTTTGACCCTCACATCGTACACGGAAAAACTTCCAGAGAAAAACCCACAGTTAATATACACACATTCCTTCACATTTACATTTTAATTTACATTAAAGTATTTTGTTAGGCCTTCTAACATATTTTTAAATATAACTACGGTTGTGGTTGAAGAGTTTGTAAATTAACATGAACCGAAGCTGTTGCCTGTTGCAATATACAATCTATGGTTGCTACAGAGGATTGTGGGTAATGTAATGTTTTCGACCATCCAAAACTCATAGAAAACGACTTGTTTCTCAGAATTGAAGGGGAAAACGTGACAAAAGCATTGTGCACTAAAACCTATCAATGTCGTTTAATTAACAAGGACAATCTGGTGTTTTTGAGTTGTTGAGTAGTGGAGATATCACTGTCAAATCAATCGACAGTAAGGGGAATACTTACTTCCGGGTGTACAATTCTCCGTTATCCAATGGGAATGGACGCGCACATTGCCTTTAACAGCCGCCGACACAAACGAATGCCGTGCTTCCATGAGCGTCAAATCCCGCCGCAGATGGGAATACATTGCAATCAGTTGAAAGCTATTTGCGTCTGTTTATGAAGCTGAAGGAGCCTAGGAGCGTCCCAACTGCACGCCCATTACCTGCACGCCCATTACCTGCACTTTCATTTAAAACCAATATCAATTTACAGCATTCACTCGTTTTTTTACTGGATTGGTAAAACCATAAATATATTTTTTCAGTGCTTCCCAGTTTTGAGGTTGAACTGAAACCTAAGAACTCTTTCTTCTACGTGGACGACAAAGACCTCACAGTCGACATTAAAGCCACGTAAGAGAAAGTTCTTGTTCTGTGGCTTTAGAGGCTGTTTGATTGGTGGATTGATTGTAGGAATGAATACAGGTTGCTGTTTAGAGGTTGGGTTGACACTCTTGCTCTTTTAGTTTCTTAATCATTTGTTTTTACTTTGTTTAAAATGAACCTGTTTTGATTCATACATTTCCCTCTCTTCTGGATTTAGGTATTTGTTTGGTCAAGAGGTGAATGGGATGGCTTACGTTGTGTTTGGGGTCATAAATGATGGTGAAAAGAAGAGCTTTCCAAGTTCTCTTCAGAGAGTGCAGGTGAGCACATTCTACACTAACTATATTTTACATGTGTTTTGGAAGAGTCTCATACTCACAAAATGTCTCCCCAAGATCTGCAGTTATTTCAGTTTAATTTCTACTCACAGATATTATGTATTTAGCGTGTTGAAAACACATAATGACAACGATGGTGGTGACAAAACACAGTCTTTTCATATTGTTTTAATTGAGAGACCCTTAGCAGCAGGAAATAATGTTGTATTATCAACTGTTCACTGTAACACTATACTACATTTTAAGACACATTTTTGAACTATGTTACATTAGATTAAAGAAGGTGTTGGAGCTGTCACGCTGAAGAAAGAGCACATCACAACGACCTTCAAAAACATTGAAGAACTGGTGATGAAATCCATATATGTAGCTGTCAGTGTGCTAACGGAGAACGGTAAGAAAGAGACTAAGACTATTCCCAAACGACAGGGGGGAAAACATAAATATACTGTATAAAGATAGGATAAGTGTTTTTGTATCAACTACAAAGTGACCGCATTTAAAAAATATAATTATATTATAAACAAAAAAATCTTGTAATCTGTTTTGATTTGATTTGTTTCTGCATCTATTAACAGGTGGTGAAATGGTGGAGGCAGAGTTGAGAAATATTCAGATTGTTAAATCTCCTTACACCATCCACTTCAAGAAAACTCCAAAATATTTCAAACCAGGAATGTCCTTCCAAGTTGCAGTAAAGTACTTTACATTAACTTTAAAAAAAAGTACTATTAAAAAAAGCACTTTATAATAACATTAGCAAAAGTATGGCTATATTTTTGATGTATTAAATGATTTTCTGAAAGACAGTTACTCTTTTTTAAATTATTAAACCTACATAGAGTTTACGACGGAGCCCTGGAGGGTTCATAGAGAGAAAAAAAAATAAAACGAGGCCACGTTTTATTAATTCGTGCGCACGATATACTTTCTCGTTCGCACAAGATACTTTCTCGTTCGCACGATATACTTTCTTATGGTAAGACACATTGAACTGCCCGATCATTACGCCATATTATTAGTTTTATGAAGAATATGTCCGGTCGCCAGGGCGTGTGTGTGTGTGTGTGTGGGCATTTGTTTATGAGAGTGTCGTTCGTTCCGGTGCACTCCGGTGCACTCCGGCAGGACTATAGCACTACATCGAGATTAAGATTAAACACATTTCTTTCACGTGGGAATACACATATAACTATGGAGAACCTCGGTCCTCGAAGTGCATTTAGAGAAATTAGATTTCCTTCAACATGGCGCGCTGAAAATCATTTCCGGGTCACCACTGGAAGACCGAGGATTCGAGGAGTCGAGGAGGGGTAATTAGTGAAATGAGAAAGGGCCCAGGGTTTCTCTGTCCGGCTGAGAGGGCGTTCAAGTGAAAGGGACTGGGTTAGCAACATTTGATCAATCACAAACATGGAGAAGCGTGCTGACAGCGCAGCGTCATACTTCATGAATGAAAAGTAAATAGCAAATCCTGCTTCGTAGTACAGGCCACTGGTGCCGCAGAGATTTCCTTCTATAAAACAGCTGTGGGCAGCAGATACTGTGAGAGTCACGGACATGAATTCATAGATCAAAGCAGACTGGTTTACAGACTCTTCTGTTTTGCCAATCCGGTGCTTAAACAAATAGCTCTACACACCTGGCCAAAATGTCCCTAAATGAAGTCTGAGTTTGAAATATATCTCAAATAATGTATGCACTGCCATTTCTCCACATAAACATAACAGTCTGCAATAAAACGGTTGTCTCCTCTGTGCTCCACTTCCTACTGTACTTGGCGCACCGGTAACTTTCTCGTGCGAACGAGAAACTAACAAAATACTTTGTCGTTCGCACAAAATACTATCTCGTGCGCATGAGAAGGTATTTTGTGCGAACGAGATACTTTTTTTTTCTCCATAAACCTTTAGGGGCTCCGTAGTTTACTTCTCTCTTATTATATTATTAACAATAACAGATCACATCATTATTTGTCATGGATTTGAATTATGATCTTAAGGCAGATTTTTCAGATTTAGGGAAATATTCCAGAGAAATTAAGAAATATACCCGGTAAGCTTTGTGTCACCATAAGTCATCATATTTAGTGAACAGAGCTAGATATTAGTACTGAGTTTTTTACCTTTATAAGATGCGGTCTAATAAGACAGTAAACCTTTTTTCTGATTGTTGAACTGTTTGTGTCTGTGTTGGCAGGTCGAAGTTATGAATCCTGACAACACTCCGGCACAAGGTGTTGCTGTTGTGGTTGAACCAGGCACCGTGAATGGCAGGACCGCAGAAAATGGCATGGCAAGGCTAACCATCAATACAGGAGGGTACCCACAACTGACGATCAATGTAAGTCTCTTAACAATTCACACAGGCCGCTTTTCAAATGTAAGCTTTGACCTACAATCAATGAATAATCATTATAAACATTTTTGATATTCATTTCTTAAGGTGAATTCAAGCAGAGCTATCAGCAGATGTTTTTGCTTCTTTATAGCTCATTGATTAACTTCCGATTTTTTGCACATTTAATTTACAGTATGTGAAAGGTGAAGCTTATCTTAATCGTAGCCAGGATAAAGATGGAATAGGAAAGACTTTGGACTTTTCAAGTAATATTTATTTAACCATGTGTATGCTTATGTGTTTCTTTCATTTCAGGCAAGTACGAATGATCCTCGTATTTCATCGACAAGACAAGCATCAGCCAACATGACAGCTCTCCCATATATTACCCAAAGCAACAACTATATCCACATAGGTAAGAGACCAGGGGTGGGAATCTTTGTGTATACCACTATTTCATTTAGAATCTTTTGAATCACTGTTTGATTCTAAATTGATCCTCAATGAACTGCATAGAGGTGCTAATTTAGGAATAGACTCCAATCCGCCTTGCGCTTCTTATGGCTGTTTGGCAAATTACGGCGTGAACGTAGAGTAAAGCGTGTATGAAATTATGGATTTTTTATATTTGAGGGAGTTATTCAAAGTTATGATTTGCAAGACTTTGGACGGTATTGAGCCAAATACCTTTAAAATAATTTGCCTGGAAAACATGCTCCTTTTATTATATTTTTCACTTTTATGTAACAAGTTAATCTACAGATGTAGCAGCTAATTTAGGACAGTTTGAAACGCGAGGGTCGTGGTCGGCCCGTGAACGGCCCGTGAACAAGAGACTGCCCCCAGTCTGACTTGAGACCGCCCCGTGATAAATAATGTAATTATTGTGAAGCCAGCTGCAATGGATCATTGATCCACCAGGGGGTGCAGTGGGGTTCCACACTGGAGCTCATGTGAAATCAACTTCGATACAGTAAACTGGATGTACAGTATGTCTGGTACTACTGTATAGCGGATCTTTGTTAAGATCCATATGTCACGGATAGGATCATAGTCTGTGCTAAATAAGAGACATGTAATCATTTACAAAACATCACCATGTTGTTATTTAACAAAATAATGTTGTTTAGTCGAAAAAAAACGAACGAGAGGAAATGCAGCCGGCTCTCGATTTTTAATCCTAATTTAATCATCATCTTCACCACGATCATTTATGTTTATGTTCGCCAAATTGACATGAATCACTGACAAATATGAATATTCTGTATTCAACTTCATTAAAACGTTATTAACGTGCCTAAACTCAGTAATTCACTAAAAATATTTATATTTTAATGGAGCCTTGTCAGGCAGATCAGGATCCCGACGCGTAGCTCCAGTCCTTTCCTGTAAATTACAGGTCCAGCCAGGCAAAACAGTGCACTTCTCTTTCCCGCACTACTGTGACAGACCATGGGGCTGGGTCAGCCACTAACATATTCATATTGCTCTTCTCATAAAGACAAATATGAACATTAGTTTTTAACTGAAATGATCAAATAAAGTCAAAATGTCACAGTGTTTACAAACATTGACCATACCGTTCACCAAACCCCCACCACCCTGCCTACTGTAGGCCTATGTTGAGTATACTCTTTGTTTAAAACTAATTGGCCATCGGAATGTGTGTGTCCCAACCCCCCCTGTGATATCTCTTCTCCAGCAGTCTGTAGGTTTGTGTTCGCATATGTATGCTGTCGCAGTTCCTAAATGACACGTTTACGCCTTAAACGATGTTTAAAAACGAAAAGTAAACGTTCAGGGTTTTTTATTAATGGTAATTTTCAGACTGTGAGTTGTTTAGTGGTAGCTCATATAGTCTTGATTCTTGTGGTTAAACTTTTCGCTCCGTATTTGATGGTAGTGGTGTCGAAATTCATTCGTCACTTCCTTTTCAGTTTTTGTTTTTTTTAATCTTTTTTTTTTGTTATTATTGTTACGTTCCTGTCTGTATACACGTGCTTTAAAATGTATTGTTTAATTCTACATATATGTCATATAATAATCAAAATATATGTTTTCATAGTCTTTGTCAGCATATTTTTGCCACGTTATGCACCCCTTGCTATCTTACATAATACAAGTGTCACATTCATGACACTTGCTCCATTCATTGGTACTAGTCCTACAACTATGCCCTAAAAAATGCTTGAGGGTGGGATTAATACAAACATATTTTTGGGTGGGGTGCATTTTATGACAGGCCTGGTTATCACAATATACCCCCCCTTGCTATCTTACAAAATAAAAGTGTCACAGATTGATGCATTTAACTTCAATATAAAGAAAAACATCTTCTGTTGTAACAACAATAACATTATAAATAGTAACATAGCTGAACATGGTATTGTACATTTAGCTTTCAGTGTTACTGACTTGAGATGTTTTTATTACATGAATTAAGGTGACTGAGGCTTTTTAACATAGACTTTTCAGTGTCCCACATTTTGCACAGAACTGTCCCACATTAAGAAATGCAGATTGTCTGAGACAACTTGGCACTAAGAGTACTGATATGTCTACCATTTCTTTTCGTGAGTGTAATATCTGCATTTTCTCTTTTGAAAACTAAGTCTTAGTTTGCCCATAGTTTGGCCACTCATTTTTAATCACACACGTCTCCCCATCCCATTCAAATTCAAATTCTTGACTGAAAGAGCAGTGTAGCCTACAGTACATGTAAATGGGTGGCATTGCCAATATGCATTTGAAAATATATAGTACCCCCCCTCTGAGTGGACTACGTGTTTGACTTCACATCTTGTCACAAACCAGGGACTTTACTTCCTGATTTTTGGAAGACTGACCCAGATACCTGTACATAGTGGAAAGTGAAATTGACATTGTCAAATTTAATAAAAATACAAAATAATGTTCACATTTGGGAACCGATTGAAAACATAGGACTCAATCTTTTGCTTCACATTGAGGGGAAGAGAGCATTTTCCCATTGGTCCCAGTCCAGTTGGTTCTTTTTCACCATTCTCCCCATATGTTACAAATGGGCGTTATGGCCATGAAAATATTAGCAGCATAGATCTCAGGGCGATGCTGTCCCTTAAAAAAGAGCTGTCCTGATAAAATGTTCCTCTCGCTCTGAGGAAACTGCCCCTGGTGGGTTCATCAGGTGTGGCCGCCGACCCTGGAGTGACCACTGGCACTGGAATGACCGGTGGCAATGGTTGTTTTATTTATTTATTCATTATTTAACAGGGACAGTGCACAACATGAAGAGGGTGTCTGTTTCTCTGCTGTGTAAATGTACCACAACCTGCAAAAGAAGCTGTCTAGCCCTGTTTGTTTTTTTTGACCTTTCAAATGTTGTTGTATAGCCTCTGGAGCAGAAATGAAAGAGTTTTAAAAATGTTTACGTTTTAGTAAGTTTTTAGGGAAAATGTGTTAATGTTGCAACGTTGGCCTTAGGTGGGAGCAGAATTCTGTATTTCTACTCACATTGTCTGAATAAATTAGTATTGAACAACTAAGGGTTAATTTGCAGGATTGATTGCTTACTTTAGCCCTATATCAGTATATAGCATGAATAATATCACACATCAGTCATATTTGTTATGAATAATCATTTATCATTTATTAAATAGTAAGTCGCTTTGGATAAAAGCGTCAGCTAAATGCAATTATGAAAGCCTCACTCAGGATTTTTTTACCAAGTGTTTTTATTGCTCTTGGGCATTAAAACAAGATTTAACTTAGTTTTTTATATAAAATCTGCATTTTCTCTTTTGAAAAACGAAGTCTTAGTTTGGCCATAGTTTGTTGTCAAAGTGCTGTACATATAATAAAAATACCCTACAGTAAAGACACTTTACAGCAAATACCACAGCACAGTTGTTCAGAATATCAGTATGAGTATGAGCACCCAATATTGATGTGTTCAAATGCTCTTCTAAACAAAACTGAAAGTCCATGAAAAGTTGTCTTTCTGTATTTGTGAATGAGCGCAATCTCCTGGTTAAATCCTGAAATTGAAAATCTGGCAACGCCCTCTTGGAAAATAGTGGGAGGGCTTAACATTCCCAGATACTGGTTTTAGGCAGGTCTTAGGCAGGTAGCAGTCAGGTAGGCAGGCAGGTAGCAGGCAGGAAGCTGGAGTCTGAAATAAGCTGCTACATCTGTAGAACTCTCTTTGCTCTAGAACAGGGGTGTCAAACTCAAATACACAGTGGGCCAAAATAAAAAAAATGTGTACTAGTCGAGGGCCGGACTGGTTCAATGTTATGCAAAACTTATTGAAATGAACTTATTGCACATATTAAACCTGGAACTAACAAAGCTAAATTATTGCCTATAAAAACAACATTAAACATTAAATAATCAGTTGCATTCATTTCTTATGGCTCTATCTGCAGTCATTTCTTATGATTACATTTTTCCACAGGCCAACAACAGCTTCAAAAAAACAATTTCCCTCAAAGACAAACCAAACATGCCCTGTTGTCAAGCCAGATACTTGGCATCTCATCTTGGGTGCAAGTTCATCAATGTTTGGGCTCAGACTCTGAGCTGAGGAAAGGATTGAGTGAAGGTGTGCATGCAATATACCGGCGGGCCAGATCTAATAGTAATTTAAAATTATCCTGCAGGCCGAAATTAAATCCACCAAGGGCCTGATTTGGCCCCCGGGCCTTGAGTTTGACAAATGTGCTCTAGAATAACTGTCCATCAGAAGCAATGTAAAATATCATTGTTTATAGGGAGAAAATGTACTACAATGCTCTACTTTAGAAATATTTGAGATACTGCAATCACAACATGTCATATTTGCAGGTGTGGTTTCAGCTGATGTACAATTAGGAAATAACATGAAAAATCGACCTCAACCTCAAAAGGCTGGAAAGTCATGACACTGACATCACATACCTGGTGAGAGATGTTTTAAATATGGGCATGTGTGCTTATACTACCCTTTTTGTTTGCGTCCATCAAGTTGTGTAGTGCAGTATACACTTATGTGCAATAAGTGCTGATATGTAAGTCTGTGTCCCTATAGATCATGAGCAGAGGTCAGCTGGTGCAAAAAGGCCGACACAACACAAGAGGTCAAGTACTGATCTCCCTGATGGTTATCATTACCAAAGACATGCTGCCATCGTTCCGCCATCATAGCCTATTACCACACAAATGAGAATGAAGTGGTATCAGACTCTGTTTGGGTGGATGTAAAGACTCCTGCATGGGTTCGGTGAGACACGCAAACAAAAAACACACACAAAACTGATTTATTTATTACTGTATTCCTCTGAAATATTTTTTAATGTAAGCAACTGGTTCAACAAATCTAAAACTGTAGGTGTTCACTGACCTCACCTTCACATTTAGCTGAAGCTGGAACCATCGAGACCCGCTATCCTATGAGCCTCGCAAGATGTTTGGTCTGAAGGTTACAGGAGACCCAGGGGCCATAGTGGGACTGGTGGCAGTGGACAAAGGCGTCTATGTCCTTAACAACAAGCACCGCCTCACACAGAAGAAAGGCAATTTATTTATATCATATTTTTCT